GCGTATGCAAATTGAATTGCCCTACCGAAATGTGAAAGAAATACGTATATCGACCTGAAATGTTCGATAAATACTTATCCAATTTCACACAGCAAGTTGTCTAACCCGACAAAAATTCACCAGGGAGTCTCATTTATCATTCAAATACGGGTAATTGCTATTGGTAATTGGAATACATACTCCATCCCACTTTTAAAAGTAATAAAACTTGTACATTTTTCCTTCCACCCACGGAATACGTACGTATGCACATGTCCTGGATGAGATGGGAAATTGAGTATAAGTGCAGATGACACTTGGTGAAATCACTTAATCATGTCCTTAGGACACATGTGATAGTTCGCTGATGTCCACAGCAGGGGATTGAATCATGAAATATTCTTCACTCAGTCCACATCCACACATGTGTAAAAATCAATTTGTGTGATCGTCATTCTGAATTGACACTTCTCCAAACTTTCAATCAGCACAAACCTTATGGTTTGCAATGTAGGTGAAGGGGAGTATATGTGCGGTTGTGGAAGTGGTGGGACTCTAGCCCAGAATTCATATAAAGCACTATTACATAGAAGGACAGAGATTTATGGGCAGTTCTCGTCGGGGAACAGCCCATCCCATTAGAGAAATTCAGAAAACACACATTTAGGAAATAATGCACAGGATAGAGACCAACCACTTGCTTTCATCACTTGTACTTTCTCCACATTCGAAGGGATGAGTTAACCTCTAACAGCTTTCTTCACCGTATTTCTTTGCACATTCACATTCGAATACCACATCCATTTATATAGAATGGTATTTAAATTCCTCAACTATGCCATGCACTCTCGTTAAGATTGCAATCGGTGGATTTTCACTGCATTCGGTTGTAAAAGTATAGTGTACATGGAGAAACGTGGAGTAGTGTACATACTAATTTTAAAACAGCGAAGTAATGAAAAGAGGTTGTTTCTTGAGAAGTCTTTAAATTTAAGAAATCGATACGTCTACAAATTAAAAGTCTCCTGGACTTCACCATGTGCATTTTCCCGTGATTTAAGCCATACTTCGAATCAGACTGTAGAATGTTTTCCGCCATATTTTCCTCGGTGCTAAGAGAATGAGAAAACGAAGAGCAGTCAGTGTTTCGGAATGGTGGGAGGACTTGGTGTGTTTATGAAGAAAGCAATTTTTGGTACTCGTCGTAATAATGCTCGAGCAAGGAGGGAGCTGCACTTGGAGGACGATGAGATTCCACGAGCGATTTTATTGTTGGACCGTAAAATTGGCAAAAGGTCAAATTATTTTAAGAGAGGAGAAGGAAAGCGGAGTTTAACTTAATAGTGGTCGTATAGTATTGCACACAGGAGCAGAAAAGCTCCTCCATCCAGTCCTACTAAATTACAGACGAGCCTATGTTTCAAGAAGAATTTCAATAGAAATGAAACCCCATAAAATTCTCCAGCTCTCGTTCTCAAAAAGAACGAAAGTATGTTCAAAACGAGAAGTAAGTGAACCATGTTTACAACAACTATTTTATATTTTGTCGACGGCCGATGCACAAGTTGGATGTTAAAATCTCTCAAACTCCGCCGGCTCCTCTCAACGTTGTACGTAGTAGCCTCATGTGAATGGTTTGCTACTTTGGGCAATGAAAGTTTCTAATTATGCAGATAAAGAGCGGGGACAGAAAGAAAAATAATTTCCGTTCCATTTAAGAAGACTTTGCTTTGGTCGGAATTCTAAAACCGTTGGGTGGAAACTGTAATAAGTTGTGACCTCATCCATAAACAAAGATATGATAGCAGGACGACCAGTGACTCAACACATTACGTTTCCCATCACACATACTAAAATAGCATACGAGACTAATGGCATCACGAAAACTTTTTTATTTTATTTCTCCGCATTTCTCATTCGCAAAAGATACTTATTGTGCAACTCTGAATAAAATATATTAAATTTATTTGCAAATTGGCAACATAAAACTCATGGAGAACAAATTGTGTTGAAAATCTTATTCTGCCAAAATTCTTCTCTTCCAATATAATATGGAACAGGGAATGAAATATTGGCAAGTGTGCGAAGCCCAAAAGCAATATTACTGCATATGTACATACATTTCGCTACTATGTATGTACATACATATGCATATCCAATATGCCCAATTGGGCAACTTGTGTAATAGGCAAATGCAAGCATTGACAAAGTTTCGCTTCGCAACGATGGCACTGGGACATGGAAGTCGTTTTTGTCACGTTGGAACAATAAGTAGCCAATTTCTATTCGTTTCTTTCTCATTTGACCAAAAAGCGGATTTTTATTCTGAAATTTGGATAGCCAAACGCGACAGTTCCAATTCCATTTCCGTTCCCATTCCATCTCCTAAAATGAAAGTTGTACTCTTGATAGATTTGGTCGGTCGGTCCGTGGCATAGTTTCCTCTTACTCATCCCTCGCTCCTACGTAGAGTTCTCGTAGTCTCTGGATGGGGCAAGTGCCCATGTCCGTACGTCCTATTTTACTCCAGCTGCGAGATAGTGAAAGTTACTTGGTTGGGTGGCGAATGATTATTGTGCAGCCTGGCTATCTCCAATATGCCAAAAGGGAGACCCGTCCTCGACGACTTTCACCTCACAATCATGTACAACGTATATATGTACGACCAGCCACTTCATTTTTAAATTCAGATTCCACTTGATTATGACAGGGGACTAGGAGAAAGAATGTAAAAGTTGTGCAGTGCAATGAAAACTCTGACAAATTGCACGAGGGCTGAAAGGTGAGAGAGAGAGAGAGGGAATCTCCCTTGAGGAAGCCCAAAGCACTGCCATTCCAAATGGAATCCTCCAGCAGCAGACTTTCTCATCTCTGTGCAAATATGGATAGGATAATGGATATGAATGTTAAAGTGAAAATTTTTCCAACAAGTTCCAAGTCCCGATCTCAGGTTCAACATTCTTCTCCACTTTATTTGGTTATTCCAAACATACTTCTGCAACTGCTCTAAATTCAGTGAGCAGTTTCGAGTGAAATGACTTTCACTCTTTGTTCCAGTTCCACAAAGACACGACACACTTACATTCATTTTATATAATGACATTACCGTCACCCTTGACTTGCTACCGGTCACAGTTTGATTGGGACAGGTGAATGCGAGGTCATGCAATATTTTAAAGTTTAATCAAAACTTTCGACTCATATCTAAATCGCAATGATATGAAAGTTGATACGTACATATTCACTTGTGCAATGGTTCATGAAAATTAGGTATTTTTACACGGTTCCAGAAGTGTAATGATTTGCTTCTTAAAAATAAGGATTCCAAGTTACTTATTGGTTTCGACAATGGATCATAGCCTCATAAAAAACCGACTGCGTGTGGTAATGTGGTTCCTCCGACACCAACCATCAATTTTGCATACGTTTCGTAGGAAGAAACATTCAGTGATGGCACAACCTGAGCAGAATACTGATCAACATTTTATTGCTGTTTCCTCAATTGGTTCACGTCAAGTTGTATAAGGTTTGAATTGGGGGAACAATGTGTGATGAAAAATTCCAAGTTTTTGCCAATAGTACTCTCTCCTGCAGGTTAAATGAAACCTACGAACGGCATAGATCGAACTGCTTTAAATATGGAGAATTTAATAAACAGTCTCCCATCATCTCATCATTCCTTTGTTTCGTTCAACAAAAATAGCAAGAGAGTGGAATAGAGAACAATAATGAACAAATGACTAAAAATACGATACAAGAAATATTCCATAGGTTTCCAATTTCTAATAACAGATGATGGATTTATTACTATTTTGCTCATACTTCACTTATTTTGGCATTGTTTGATTTGTCTCTGAATTCAAATTATTTCACCCCAAATTGTGAAGTATTCAACCTAAGTCATTCAACAAAACTCATATGTCATTTCTAACCAAAATGCCCAACAAATAAAGCCAAAAGGTGTAAAGTTTTCAAAAAATTATCATTTTGTTCAGTTAAATTAATTGTAAATTTTAAATCTATACATTTTTTCAAATCCATAAAACTGAAAATTTTATTTTACTCAATATCAAATCTCTGCTAGATTAAAAGAAAACTTTCTCCCTCTCAACTTGGCTAAAAAACAAGTTAAGATTTCCATTCAGTGAAAAACTGCTTCACACATAATTTAGTTTCAAAAATATGCATCCCATAGATTCCATGTAACATACGTTCAAAAAGTGATTTTATTTCTAGGTCGTCGCCGCATTTCTGACAACAATAGCAAGATGATAATGGGGTTCGTCATCAAAGGGGGAAAGTCGTTGGTGCATTTTTGAGGTACATCTCAGCAGGGGGAAACTGTGATATGATGATTTGCTGACTCCGCTGAGACTGCATCATTTCATTCCTTGTTGTATATACGGGATAAAATGTAAAATAAAGAGAAAGCAGGAAGAGACTATCCAGATGCAACCATGCACGGGCAACACACAGTCAAGACGACTCCCCCACTGACACTTCAGAGACTGGAATGAACTGCAAACTTCACTTTCTTCCTGATTTTTCTCTCCTAAATTCCACCATAAAGAGAGCTCCGGTGAAGTAAGACTTTGAACGATTACTTACATACTCGTACTCTTACACTCTGGCAGAATTCCGGATTAGAGTAGTTTTCATCTACAAGAATAAAACAGAATGCTGACGAGTTCAAAAATGAGTTGGATGGAAGGGGAGATAAAATCTTCGAGACAATGAGTCAAAAAGTCTTGGAAAGACAGACTGCATGTTCACGGAACTGAAGGACAAACCGTTTTCACAATCACAATGGGCACTTCCTTCAGCAACATTAAATTTGGAGAGGGGAGGTCAAGTTGACTGAAATTTCCGAGTTTTGAGAAACATTATGCCGATGGGGATTTTATGCACGATGAGGAGGATATACAGAGAGCGAGTTATTGTAATTCACCCTGTCGGCACTCTGGCATATGATTTACGCATAATTCATATCCACTGATCTATTGTGAAAACACGAATCTTACCTGTACTGGATGTAGTAGATTTATTCGTACTGCGGATTAATCTCCTCGAACAAGGCTAGGAAAACGGGCAGTGCTTAATCCATGTGTGGCAGATGTGCAAACTCTGTAACAAAAATACGAGTCACCCTTCGTTAATATTGAGTGATTAATTAATCTGGGAGCCAAACAGGCAACCCCGTTCTACACTCTGGCTCATGTTTCATGGCTGATATGTCCAATTTTCTTTCGGTTGCAGCGCATTGCTGCTACATAAGCTCTGGTCCATGCTTTCCTCCATTAATTTTATCAATGAATGTGGACAAAGATTGTCATTTGGAATTTACGGGCGGATATAATGAGCTGACTTCTGTTCGATCTATGCCTGACGGATATTAACGGATTATCACGTCAAAAATTCCATTTGTGCTTCAGTACCCACTCTGTTCAGACAAAGTCAAGTTTACTTTTGCCCTGCATCAACCTCACGACAACTAGAACGCGTACACAGATTCTAATTTCCATAAATTATTTCCTCCCTTTCCCAATAGTTTGTACATTGCTGGTGTGCATAAGTTTGACGCAGACGTGCAAGCGAAATATGCTAAACTGAACTCTGGGCAAAACTAGCGAAACAAGACTACATAACCAAAATAATTATGACAAAAGTTTCACGTCGTGGAGAGTGGTGTTTGGCTGAAGGATTATTTAAGAATAAAAACAAGACAGCTAATTATTACACAGAAACAATGGTAAACTGTCTAAAAAACTGGGTCATTTTTATCCTACAGTTTTCATCTTTTGTGGGTTAATTTGCATATTCATCAACAATAAGAAACAACCATATTATTTCTGTGCATTATTATTTCAACTGGGTAGTAAAATAAAAAATAAAAAATAAAATAAAATAAAACTAATCCGGGGATTAATTAGATTGACGACATATTTTTCAAGAAGCCATCGTCGAAAAAAAAACTTCGTTCAAGTTGTAGTGTGATTGTTTTCACTTGAAGGAGAAAGTGGCTACAAGAATAGTTTTCGCACTGCCCAAGTTCAAGTCGTGGTCCCAGAAGTCTTAGGTAAAGAAAGGTGCTTCACATGAGAGCGATGCGTTTCGTTTTTCACACAACAAGGAGTGAGAGAAAATAGTTGAAGGAGGAAATCGAGAGAATCGCAACTTTCGAAAGTGTGTAGCCCATAACTATTCTTTACGAACCCATAGCGCTTCACATTCAGCAGCCCATTAACCGTTTGTCTTCCATTTTCCTGACTGCGAACTTCGCACAGCCTTTAATATTATTATCAGAGTGCACGCAATCACTAGAAAATTGTGCAACTATACGGATGCGAGGAAATGATCACGAGTTTTGCTCTCAAGTGGCTTCTTAAGCACTCTCCAAATGACTTGAACTGACGAAGAATGCGTGTGCAATTCACCCGTCTCTTATCCCGTATAGAATACATAAGAAGATACGCGCTACTGATGCGCTGCACTGATATTGCACTTCAAATGACTTAAAAGAAATTGAAGCAGAGATTGTCCACAACAATAATTTTTATAACCATTAGCAAGCCAAGCATTTGTTTTAATTGAGAATTTGTGGTTATTTTAAACAAATTCTTCCACGAGACAACAAACGCCTTCCCGTCGATAGATTTCATATTTCCGAGGAGGATGACAAATAATAAATGTGGAGGAACGTGGAAAGATAAGATGATCCCATCATATATTGTAACTAATGATCATGACCGTCGTGAATTCATGAATGATTCAACGGCGTCTCGGTAAAACATTAATTCGCATTACGAGCGATGGAACTGAGATCGCACCTTCTTGGGAAAGGTTTATGGTTAGAAAACAGGATTCTATTTCAACACATTTTCCATTCCATTATTTCGCGTTCACTTTTTCGCAGTTGTTCCCAGGAACTTTACTTGAAGAATGCACATACACACAGCTACGAGACCACCAGCAACAACGCCACACGCCTATTCAGAAACATTTTCCATTCCGACACAAACAACCTAGAAACGTATACAGTGTTATTTTGAAGGAACAAAAGCCCCTGCAATTTGTAGTAGTGGAGCTGTGCTCCCCCATGTGCTCTCCACTTTTAAGATATTGATAACTCCGTAATGGACCAGCGTAATGTAAGCAATAAACTCAGGTTTCCACCAAAACAGACAAAATAATTTGACTTTATGTTCTCATTTCCTGAGAGAGACTGCCACGGACAAAACTGGATCCAGAAAGTCCTTGCATTCTTTGAAGTGTCTCTTTAACGGACCATCATGATTGCGTAATCAAATTCACTGGTGTTTTCCGACCCAACGAGTAGCGAGAGTGTGAACCCAATGTCGCACCAATATCACACTCCTCTCGATTTCATGAAATTGCTGATTGAAAAAACAAATATCTGGTTTATCCGCAGCATCATAATTTGTATTCAAAAACATTTTTTTACTTTCGATAACAAAATGTGTACATTAAAACAAATTTTAAAATGATTAATTTGTGTGTATAAATTTTCAGATTCTACGCACATAAACATATTTATTTGTTCATTGTAAGAATCTTAACTGTTGATATGTAGCTAGCTAATTAGGACTCTGCCAAACTTATAGGCTACTAAATGTACTTTATATTTAGACATATTTAGTAGGTTCTAAGGTTCTCGACCCACAGCACGTAGCAGACAGGAGAAAATTGGAGAAAGTGAAAAATAGATGAGTGCTTTCTCCAAAGGAAACATGGCATTAACGCACTGCTGGACAGAATATAAATATCAGTTGGTTGTGCTGCAGTGGCCAGAAATACATTTATTTGAAGGAAGGAAACAATACGAATGATGGCAGTCTTCCATATTTCAACTCCATTCTTCCAACGCATGGCCATAATCAATAAATTGTTCATGCTCATTTTTTTCTTTTTACCCCCAAAGAAAAAGAGAAAACTCTTCCGACCAGTATTATCACTCCAAGTGCAAGATTGTAGTTAATAGTACGCAGAGAAAGGAGGCGGTTGGTTGGTCAGTTGGCGTGGGTGCCAATACTGATTTCCAGTCAAGTGTGAAAACGCATAAGACTCGAGCGGACTTGAAAATTCTTGTTCTGCTACACCAACCGCCGTTCAATATAAAGTAGCAGCAAGTCCCGTTGGAAAAGAGAGTTTTTTTATACAAGTGCACGTAAAGAAAATGAAGTATGATTTGGTGGTGGCGATACGGTCGGAATTCAACCAGAAAGTGTACTCTGGCTGCTGCCATTTCCTAAATTCGCTGCCACCTTGCACGAGATGTTGATAATAAAGCGTATCTCTGAGAAATCTGGAGATGCTTTCTCCAAAACCTGCCTCAACTGCAGTTAGTTGAATGTTAGACGACGCCGAGGACGACGACGTGCAATAATCGTCCTCGTCGCAAGTCTCGGCAAGTAACAAGAGAATAAAAGTTGACTTGAAAGGTTGGGATGATAAGTTGGTGAAAGCACGTTGAAGGCCAAGGCCGGACCAATGCACACACAATTCACGTTTACCCTTTCACACTTTTCTCTCTGACTGGATTCTTTCCCTTCAATTGGCTCATTGTTGCTATTTCCAAGTATTTTCTGCTTCACAAATTTTGACACATGAAATCTTTTGGGTTGATATATATTCCGACTCTCCGGGTTTACTTTATCTTTTCGAGTTCAGTTGGAACTTTCTCAAGTGTATACATATGTGATCTCTGCATCTCTTCACGTGAGCAAATAAAGAAGGGATTCGAATTGGGAGGCAACTATTATTGATCGGACACTTTATTTGCTCTTACATATTTTTAAAGTCTATGCCTTTGGCTTGTGAGGCTTGAGGCTAAGCTAAAACACAACGTCCTAATACGTATGCACTAAAACATAATAATCATATTTAGGCAATTGTAATTGTCAAATACTGAAGGTCAGTTCACTTTTATTATTATATAAAAATGGTATTTTTTTAAATTAGATGGTTTCACTACTAGACATAAAAGTGTGAGAGACCATCTCGAGCTCAACTCATAGCTGTCAGGGATTGAAGGAAGACAAGTGGACAGGAAAGCTGGGTGGTGCTACTTCCTCTGACTTATCAGCACTTGGTGGAGTGATACAAAAAAATGTCCAATTTCAGTAAATATCTCGGATAAAATCTAGAAGGAAAACAGTGAAGAGAGTCCAACCGCACTCTAACCTGCCTGCCTCTTGGGTTGACTGACTGCTTTCCCTTCCCCTCTGTCCATCCAAAAGATTTCTTTCAAAAGAAAAGGGCGACAGACACAAGAGAAAACTTTCCAAAACGGAAAACCGACAATTTCCAGGAAACAGCCAATTTTTCTTTACCAAAGTCAATGTTCTAGTAAATCGTGGGTTACGTAAGGTGCTTCCAACACAACTCCCTAATTTTTAGACTTTGGGATTTTTTCTCAAACACAGAACCGAAACCAGGACTGGTGAAACCATGTAAGCCAACAAAAGGCCTTACATAACACCGTACAAAAGTCCATAGTCCATATCAGACCCTCATTTTTAATATATGTTTCTTCTACAAATTCGGAAAGATATAAACGGCACGTGCTGAGGTCCAAAAGTACTAAACTTTTCACTCGAGTCTTATCTTCAAAATAAAATCCTGGGTCAGTGAAAGCTGGCCCAGGATTAGATCCAGTATTGATTAGAATCGGTAAATACAAATAGAAACCTTCCCGAGTGCATAGCCCAGCAATAAGACGGACTAAGAAAGTATTGCTCCGTAGTACATATGTACACACACAGTTTTCTCTAAAGTGAAATACATTTTTTTATTTACAAGACACATTTAATGTGGGTGAGTTGCTCAAAAGTCAAGTTTTTGGGGTTATTTGTTTTTCACTTTTGTCTGCTTGTCGTAACGGGACGGAAACGGCTCATTAAACCGATGCAAACCATTTTCCTTGGTAAATCTAAGAATATATGTATCTCAGAGAATTGCCTAATAGTGTGCGTACAATGTGCGTAATAGTGGAAGTAGGAGGATTGCGGATCACTTTATCCAAGCAGCTCGGAGGGTGAGTTTATACACAAAAGTGAATGTGCTGGGAGTGAATAGCAATATGGAGTAATCTTCCATGCCCTTTT